CCCCCCCCCCCCCCCCCCCCCCCCCCCCCCCCCCCCCCCCCCCCCCCCCCGGTCATGAACAGAAATCGCCAGTTTCACAAATATGGTGTCAAATTGTGCTCATCTGACAGTAATTAAATGCCTAAAACTCCCAAGCTTCTTGGGGGCTCCACCCTTGACCCCCGCCGGGGCTTTGCATGCCCCTAGAACCCTATGCTATGCTCTACCTGATCATAAATACTTTAGTTACATTCTCAATAGACTCTACTTCTTCTTCTACAACGATACTCAGCAGGACAGGCACTGTACAACTTATTCTATGCAATCAAAATCTCAAGTTAAATACCGCTAAATGAGTAAATCAATGCCATGGCCAAGGATTTGTTTGATAAATGATGTCTAGATCTAGATTAGACCGAATTTTCCGTCTCTTTCGTTCGTTAGCCCTTATTGGGGTAGGGTCGGCTCTCTCTTTAGAGACGGAAAACGTCTATACACATTCCCTTGATAACGCCACGGCCATTTCAGGTCGTAGCGTTTTGCCCCCAAAATCCCCACAAATGTCATTTTACCTCGTGCATGTTATATTGTAAATTAGGCCTAGGCTATAATAAATCAGTTCCACTTACCAACTTGACTGAAATAATCAGTTTAATAGTCCCTTTTTAGGAATTTATGGGTCCAAATCGAAATCCATGGCATGTTGAAAAAGATTTTCAAAATGGATTTCGATTTTGACCCATAATTTCCTAAAAAGGGACTATTAAACTGATTATTTCAGTCAAGTTGTTAAGTGAAACCGATGTATTATAGCCTAGGCCTAGACTAATTTACATGTGGATATGCACGAGGTAAAATGACATTTTGGGGGATTTTGGGGGCAAAACGCTACGACCTGAAATGGCCGTGGCGTTATCAAGGGAATGTGTATAGACGGTTTCCGTCTCTAAAGAGAGAGCCGGCCGACCCTACCCCAATAAGAGGCTAACGAACGAAAGAGACGGAAAATTCGGTCTAGATCTAGATCTACCTCAGTCATGGTTGCATTCAATAGTCTACTAGATCTAGATCCATATCAATAGATCTAGACTATTCATAATCATTCCAGAAAACACGATTGAAACATGTTGAGTTTAAAACATACGATTTCAATGAATGAAGATCTGAAGGAAACTTTGAAAGAAGAGGAAAATACAATGTCAACTTCAGCCTTGTTCAGGCACAGCTATCGGGCAGAGCCACACAAGCTACCCGATTCCAGCCGGCTAAGCCCATCGGCTCTGCACCGCACCGCACCGCGCCGCTGGGCTGAGCTAGCTGGAGCTGCACTCCTGCAGCTGCGTTTTATCTCTGCAGAAGTGTTCTCGGTGTCAAATTTAGAAAGCAAGAAATTGTCCCCTTACATATCAACATATAAATACAAGAAAAGCTTACCTATTCCCCTATTCTACAAGCAGACAGAAGTCGGTGTAGACCATACGAGTTGATATGAACGGTCTTATTCACATGTTTACAATGTGAGGTCGATAACTTGACCTGAGGTCACGATGGGTCATTTCCATAGAGACTGCACGCGAAAACTTTGGGAATCGTAATGCGGTGGTATTGATCAAGAAAAATAGTTCGTTTTCATACAACATTTGTTCTGTACCACAAAGTGTTTATTGATTAAAAGTCATAAAAGTAGATACAATTTTTGAAATATACAGCGGTAAAAAACTATCAACGTACTTTCATGGACAAATCAATTTGCAAATTTATGAAATGGTGAAACAGACCGCGTAACAATAGACCGCGTCACATCACCATTGATACCGCGGAAGCATGTGTTTGTTGTGAGAGCTAGGATCATCAACAATGCCGTATCTGTGCGGTTGAATGACAGACAGACACGAGAATACCGCAACTATAATATTCGCTCTTCGATCTCTCTGTGAGCGTGAAGTACATTGGATCAAAATGGAATAATGCAAACATCGGTATTTTCGAGGTCTTAAAGCATAAAGTGAAGAAAATATGATGCAGAGCATGAGATCTAGAGACAGACTGGAGAATGTCAGGATTCATTCTCCAGAAGTACGGGAGATATTACTCGACGATGCACGCGAAAATGATACTCAGAAACTAGTATGTATTACTATTTATAATACGTGTGGGCGTGGAATGAGTGTAAAGTTTTCTAGTAGTTGAGCCTGCTTAGTTCAAGCATAAATTGATCAATGACAGTGACCATGAAAAAAAAAATATTCTAGAGAAGCTGATTAAGTATACTCCAAATCTTAAGACTTGGACTTAAGACTTGCGCAGTGTGATTTTGTACATTCACTGACAAAATATTGGGGCTTTATAAGTTCATGACTTTTAATTTTTTGACCTAAATTAATTTTCATGTAAAAGTTTTAAAAAGTTGTATAATATATGTTCTCATTTCATATGTAATTATACTGTTCCTGTTTCATTAGTAGGCCTACTATTATTATCTTTTTTAAAAGTATGATTATTATTATTATATTATTTTATTTTATTTTTTTAATTATTATTGTTATTATTATTATTATTTTATTATTATCACTATAATCATCAATATCATTTGCATTATTATTACTTCAACTTTTATTGTTATTTGTATTATTATTGTCATTATTTATTATTACTATTATTATTAATATAGTATTAGAAGCAGTAGTTGTATACAGTACGTAGTAGAAGTAGTATAGACTTTTTTTTGTGTGTGTGAAGTATTATAAACTTATCATCATCAGTATCATTATGACTATAATTAAATAAAAACAGCATTCAATTTGTATGACTGTAGTTGTCTCCTAATAGATTGTGAGCTTATTTTTTAGCTCATGTACAATAAAAAGTTGACTCATACATGTATTTAGGGCAATGTTTTTGCTTCCAAGTATACCAGATACGTTTCTACTCAAAAATATTATTGATCCTACATGTATATACATGTGTATTGTCTTTTCAGTTACAACGAGACATACATTTCGGAGGAAACTAGAAGAATTACCAGAGCAAACGGAACCATCCTGTTCTTCCCCTCAGCGTCCTGGGACCTCTGAACGGCGGCGCCCTTGGAGTACGCCTGTAGCTAGCAGGAACAGCATGATGTCAGCAGGTAGTGCTGGATCAGCGTTGGACCAGACAACAAAAATACAGAACTGGTTATGTCAGAAGGCAGTCAGACATGTACAGGTAAGGGCAAGACCATGGTTTCATCAGGGGCCTAGAATGATGGGAGTAGAAAAAAGTTATTGGAAGATACACTTTCTAGCGAGGAAAACAAACATAAAGGAAATCAGCCATAACGTGATGTTTTCATTTCAAAATAGTGAAAACAAAATACATACCATCTGTTTGGAGCCAGAAGGATATATTAACTCTCTGCAAAAATGATAAGTCAAGGCCCTTCTGGCTCTAAAAGACAGAATTAGACCTAAATAAATTTGCTCTGGAAAACTATTTGGAAAAAAATAGAGAATTAAAAACCAGACTTACCAGAGAAATATAATAATAATAATATTTAGCTTTTATATAGCGCTTACTGTAATACAAATGTCTCTAAGTGCTTTACAAATATACTATTACATGTACATAATTTGTAATTCTTCAAACTTTTGAATTTAAGTTTGTGCTTACCTCGAAGAGCTTTTATATAGTTCTGCAATTTGTATGATCGCACTAGTCAGATTTTGAATGTTTTCATTTTGATTGTCAAAAAGTTTTTAAATGATATTGTATATCCTCATTGAGAGGGAGAGAGAGAGAGAGAGAGAGAGAAAGAGAATATAAGGTAAACATGTTTCTGATGAGAGTCAGAAAAACTTTGTTTGAGGCATGAATATTGAAGGCCTACATGTATTATAAGAAAAGTTTGAATATAAATCCTTGAAATGCTTTAATTCTATCTATGATATTGTTTTGGGGACACTGCAAATAGTAAACAGGTCAACAGGATCATGATTTCTCAAATGACATCCATCTGAGAGTTAGAAAAATATTTAGTGTCATCTCAGATAAATATCTGCGATCATAATTGTGAATACAAGAGATATCTATGAATAGTTTGTCGGAAATTTAAGTGTAACAACGATAATCATGAAAATGTAGGAGAAGGACAATAGTTTTTAGAAAAATCTGTATCATGTTTGTAAAGTACAGTAAAGTAAATGGTCCATGAATTCTTTCACATGGCTATACAAATGGAATCACACATTTTTCAGGGAGATTCTAATGGTATTAAGTCAAGCTTTCTGTTATCTCCTCAAGTCATTCAGGAGAAAGATTATTTGCTCACTTGACAAAAGAAGTAATGCTCTTTATTTGCTTAGAGGCGAAGAAGACACTTGTGTATACTCAGAAGATTTAGATAGAGAAGAAAGGTGTTATCTGTTTGGCAGAGATCACCATAGTTGCAAAAAACAAAACAAACGTGTTATATGATTGAATATAATTATGAAGTGTATAAAATGCTGAAGCACATCTTTGTTCAATGACATTTCTAAATCAATCTTCAAAAAGTTCGCACAAAGTTTTTTTTTTTTTCAACCAAAAGTGTTCTGTGAGCTGATTAATTGACTTTTGTTTTCTCAAGAACATTCATATTGGGTGTGGTTTCGCTTGTGGCACCAACATCGATGCCTCTTATTGTTATAAACCTCTGGTAAAAAAGATGAATGTGGCATCTCAATCAATAGTACATTATTCCATTTACGTAAGTCAACCAGCAGGAGGGAAGACTATTTGTATAGAGGGGTAAACATGGTTGGGAGACCCTGTGCTGAAGGGGATAAATTGATTTTCCCCCTCTCAATTATTCACCAAGGACTGATGAATGGAATAGGAATTTTGTAGACAAGGGGATATTATCTGCAAGCTAAAGAAGTGAGAGAAAGAGACAAAAGAGAGAGAAAGAGAGAGAGAGAGAAAAGTGCGCGCGAGAAAATGAAATAGAAAGAGAATGAAGGGAGAGAGAGAGAGAACAAAAAGAGGAAGTGAACAAGAAAGAGAGAGAAAGAAGAAAGTGAAGGAGATATATTCATTTCATGAAGAACTGTAAGGGGGTATGGAACTACATGTACATGAATGGAGGACTGTGTGGAGATCAGAAGTGGTAAACAGGGAGCAAATTACAATTACGAGTCTTAAAAGCCATCAGTTTCTGTAAGACTATTCATATCTCGAGACAACTAATTAGGTCTCAAGGTACATGTAGAATAGCTACTTGTGTTGTTTGCATAGAGTCGTGGATCTATTAGGTGGTAGAAGTAATAAACAACCTGTCCTCTAATGCAAGAGATACAAGAAGCTGCATTGTGCAAATAATGGTTTCCCAGCAACCTCATCTAATGGTGGAACATGTTGTCAAAGTAACAACACAGTACATGTATGTTATACTCCCATTTGATCTCTATAATTCCCTGACAGCCATTTGAGTGCTTGTGTTCAGTGTTTATTGAGGTTCCTGTCATTTGGATGTGTAATTCTGTAGACTTGCAGAAGTTGGTCTTTATGTTTACCTGGATTTGAAATGTAATATTTTTTGTTTGTTCGATTGATTTTTCTTTTATACAGGAGAAAGCAGATCCAGAATCAAAAGAAACCAAGAAGATGTACATGGGTGTTTTAAACACAGAGAAGACATTTGTCAAAGTAAGTAACACATTACGCAAGTATATGGGAATATATATAGAGAGAGTTTGATGCATAAAGTGATGATTCATTTGTACTATCGCTGGACATGTAATTGACAACATTTATCCTGCAGGCTCTGAAATTAACTTTTAAAAGAAACATTTAACTATTAGATAGACAACAAAAACTAATAGACATGAATATTGTTTCAGTGTTTGTTTAATCAACCTGCATAATAAGATCTTTCACAGAGAAATTTATAATTTGCAGGCTATCAACGTGTTGTTGTGTCATTACCATTCTGTGTGTTTTCATGTCTGTGCTAAAGTTGAAAGAAAAAAATTAAACTGCATTGTTTTGTGTCCCTGTTCCTCGAAATTCAATAAGTTGAAAGTAAATGAACAAACTTTTGACCACATTACCCTTTGTCAATTGCTTCATATAGGATGTAGATAACTACCTCATGAACAAAGCATTTCTGGATCTACGGAAGAAAGAGATGCTGTACAAGAAATGGAGTGAGAAGATATCAGAACCTATAGATAGCAGCATTTATCAGGAGATGAAGAACTTTCCCAAGGTGGATAAGAGAAAGAGAAGCATTTACAAGGAATACCTCAGGCATGGCAATAAGAAGGTGAGAATAACAATGGAATCCTTTGAAAGTTTGATTTTTCATCAATTTGACAATTATAACTGCTTATTTGAGCTGAGGAAACAAATTAGGAAAGGGATTAAGGATTATTGATTATTAGGTTGAAATTTAGAAACTGCCCATAGTTTGCTCCAGTGAAAGTACCTGACTGATTTTAGCAATTATATGATATAAATCCATTGGTTGTTGAAAATGATTACCGATGTCAAAGGTTTTAATTTCTGCCTCATCCATAATTCTTGGGAAGATAATGACGATGAACATTAGATTTGAAATTGTATTCTATTGTTTCATATGTCTTATATTATATACTGCATAAGTAATAATGTAGCATTGGTTTGTGCCATGCAAGGGAAGGGGAGGAGGAAGGGAGTACTGCAGTCTTACAAGGTATATGAATTGTAAGAGAACATCGCCAATGAGTGATTAGAGGGAGTGGGATACGTTTGCATCAATTTCTTTTCAAACTGCACCCCTTTTTTCAATGTTCTCCGTTTTTACCCCGCCATTCTGTAAATGCCTTTTTTAAACCATGTCATGTATACATCTTTGTTTTGTGCTTACAGGGCTTTGTGTTTCTAGATACCTATGACACAGAGGAGTATGATCCAATGAAGCTTGTAGTTCCTAGACCAGCTCCTCTTAAGATCCAGAGGAACACCACAGAGGACCCAACCTTACAGCAGGAACGAGAGAGAAACAATGAAGACAGGACTACCTTAGCTTGCCAAACAGGTGAATATTATTAGTGTAATATTAATATGAAGTATAGTGTATACTAATTATAAGACATAACTATTGTATACAATATATGCAATTATTGTACTTACTATTTATTATAGTTACCATTATAGGGCAGTATGCTATATACTGATCATTGATGTATTCCTTGTATGTACAGACTACTGTGTGCTGAGAGACAAAGGGGCATTGATTTCATATAAGAGTATATTCGATTTGTAGGAGGTGACATGTTCAGCTTAATTTTGGTATCATCAACCCATCCCATGCTCAATTGTAGCTCTGTCACATTGAAAATAATAGGTCGGCCTTATAAATACAGAATAGGTACATTGAATGTGTTTGAGAACTGTGGGAATATGTCACATTGATTGTTATTATATATTTCACAATTCTTCAATTACATGTAAGAATAAGCTGCAACTCCACTCCTAGTGATGAATAAGATATTTGTTCATTGTTCATACATTATGTAGTTGTACAATAATTACCTTTCTTTTCCATGAATAGGTGAAGTTCTACCAGACAAAGCTGTAGAGCGCCATCGCTTGCCCCCACTTCCACTGGTACCACTTGGTCGTCATGGTACCGAGTGTGCTACTTGGCTGGCCATGCCCCTACATGATATAGAGAGTCCTGTTAGGCTAGGGAGCAGGTAAGATCAAGTTGTTTTTTTCTTTTTCATGCATACAAATATTTGTAGAAGGAAACAATGCACTTGTTTCCTGTATTATAATGTATTATGGAAATTAAAAGATCCATGTGGTACTATTGGTAATAAACATATTGAATGGAACAGATTGATTGATAAATGTTATTGCATTTTGTATAAGTGAGGAGTATTTCTAAACGTCATTTTATTCCAGTAAGGAAGACAGATTAAAAAGGAAAAAAAATGCTAAAGTTATATTGATATTGGATGAAATGTGTGAGAAAAGCTCACAAGTTATTTCAAGGATTCATTTTGAAAATGATATTGAAGTGGGGTGGTACATACCATTAATGTCAAGAAAATTAGTTTATTAATCCATAATTTTTATTTTCTGTCTTTCTTCCTACAGACGGAGAATGCAAGGTGTATTCAACACTACCCATTATGATTTCTCGCAACCCTTCTATGACCCTGAGAATGTTAGACTCCATCAACAAACGCTGCAATCACCAAGTCAATCACAAGCGACTGTCGTCTCATAATGCTGTATATATATATTTTTGTTTGTTTCAGAGATGTATAATATTTCAAGGTTTATTATGCAAAATATTTCAACCTGTGCTCTGCTTTTGCATTTGCAAAAATGAAATCTGCTTTTCATTGTTTTGCGAAAAAGTTGTAAATGCTTTATTTTGTGCTTTGCGTTTGTTATGCTTTGGCAATGAGTAATTCAAACATTTTTTTAATGTAAAAATGCATATTTTAGTAGTATACTCTCTCCGAGGTCGTTGTGATTCAGGGTGAACTACATGTGTGTTGTGCTCAGTGAAGCCATGTGCATATATATATTCATTAGGTTGTACTGCAATTTTCGAGAGAATATAAAAGATTTTAAAAAGGATTCCTCAAGAGAGGATTATTAAATGAAAAATATGAAGCTTTTTCATGCAGATATTTACATGTTCCGTCCATACATTCTGTAAAAAGGAGCAAGATTCGTGCTTAAATATATTCTGAACAATGTGCTAGAAAGAGATAATGCTTAATGCAACTATGCAATTGAACATATAGTGTGCCATTGTGCCCAACTAAATCCAGTGTAAGTATGTGGCAAGGCTGCATAATTTGTTAATATATCCTTCCTTAGATTTTGAAAGTTTTTGTGAATCTCATCTTAGAATGAATCATTCCACCAAATTGTGCATATGAAGGACAATTATTAAGCTTGCAGTCGTTGGTTTAGTCAGAATTGTTTTCTCAAGAAAAATTGAAGATTGATTACAGAAAAATATGAAGCCATAGAATTTGTAAAGTTTTATTTAATTCAGCATTTTATTATTTGTATTTTAATAGGCAGACCTGTTGAGTCAGAAGAACAAACTAAAGTGTCTTGATTTTGAGAGAATGCCTTGCACATTATATCCAAATATGCACAAGTGACCTTCGTTTCATGCAATTTCATTTGCCTTTGTAGATGACGTAGTTTGAATTTTTAATGTGCTATTTTGATAATCTTAAGGACTGATTTTGTTCAGAATGATGGGAATAATAAGATTGTGATATGATATGCATCTGAATAGAGAGAATGTGTGAGAATTATAAACACAATTTGAAGTGAGAGGGAGGGGGAGAGAGAGAGAGAGAGAGACTGGTAGGTATATAATTTTTTTATTTTTTTTATATCACATTTTTCTACACTAACGAATGCCAGATATTGTATGTTATTGTAAGATTTATTTTATTCGTTTTCATGGCCTCAAACCTGTACATTGGTGAGCTAATGCCTAATGTCCAGAATATCTAAAAAGATGAAACAAAAAGCCAACAAAATTGTTTCACATCCATTTTTTAAACAATTTGTTTCATGTTGACCTACATTATATTTCTTTATATGATTCTATATTATCTCTGTTTTTAATTTCATAAAACTACCCCAGAAATATTGATATCAAAGAGTATGAAAGATCATGTGACAGATGCCATGGAGTATCACTTCCTATCAGATAAATTGACTTATGGTATACAATGTACATCACCTCGCTATTGATTCAAACCTGTAATTGCTATCGTAGACACAAAGAATGTATTCATGGGCAAAGGGAAGTAAATTTCTTTTCATGGTCATGTTAATTGATCAGTTATTAGATTCACCTGCTGGTAGCAAGCCACCATTCTTTGTCACCATTCACTCCTGTAATTGATCACATTAATATCACCTTCAGGATATATTGTACTGGTTGCTATGCACACCACATATAAACAATGATCAACAAAATATGTAAAAGTGTCAATTAGGGTCAATGCCATCAGTTTGTCATTTGTGAGGCCCTTTTGGCTTTCACAGATGACGTATTTGAAGTAAATTTAGCTTTGGATTTTGATTGGAATATGACAAACAACTGTTAGTTGGTTTTGAGCTGGGCTTTTGAATATTTTATTGGAAGTACCATTAGCCATACATGAATTAGTAGAATTAATTACTGATGTACAGTGATATCTGTAGAATATTTGAAATAGTTGCACCTGAATTTGTATGATATATGTAATAATGATAAAAATACAAATGTCACATTTGAAATGAAATACATTACATGATATATAAACAAATCTTCATCAGTCTATCTATCTTTTGTTGTGTTTTTGTGTATCCTTTTTTGTGAGTGATTCCTTTGAAACTGATACCCCTGTCACGATAATCGATAATTAACAACATTTTTGACCATTCTGGGTAATGTAATTTTTTCCCATTTTATTATTAGTCTGTATTCGGACTCCTCTGTGTAGCTGGGGTAATACGAAATCATTATCTATCTGAAATGGAGGAAGGGGAGGGAAGGGGGTAGGTGTCTAAGGGAATAATAAATTTAGTAGTCAACAGGTAAAATTTATAGATTAAATTCCTGTGAACATTTACCTTTGTTTTAACAAATGGGATTCAGGACATTATCAGAGCCTTTGCCGAGAGCCTGAAGGGTGTTAACCCGATGTGATATTATGAGCAGAAAAAGCCCTCTTGGTTGTCGGCAAACAAAAATGTTGCATGAACATCACACATTTCAGAATGAAACACTATATACGGTACATGATCAATAACACTCTACACCCTTCACATACTTGTTCTCATGTCTTTTTTGTTGTTGTTGGGGGGGGGGGGGGAGGGGGGAACTAATGAAGTTAAGCAATAGCCAAACACATCTGATATAAAAACAATAAAAGGGGTTATGTGGAATCAATTCTAGGGCATATAAACTCAAGAAATGGAGAAAAAAAAACATGTTGCTTTACACCAGAGCAAGTCAGCCATAATTTAATCTTCTATATAGTCTGCTATCTACAATCTGTAATAAGAAAAGGTTATATCTCAAGGCAGTTTATTTACACACACTCAATAAAATATCAAATCCATTCACATTACTTGTCTATATTTCTTGTATGACAGCAAGTCCTACAATACACAAGTAAGTGATACCTCTTCATTAAATCACTAATTCACTGGTTGTGCAAATGTCCAATTGCAATTATTCGTATGAATATTTTTGTGCAGAATTGAAGATCCCCTACAAATAGTCAAATATCATCTTTTTCCTTTAAAAAAACACAAATTAAATGACTTGAATATAACTGGTAAACAAATTGCACAAGTTACCACATGCTGTCCTGACATGTAATACAAAAAAGAACCAACAAAGTACCAGTTTTGTCAATATTAACTTGTTACTTATAACTGAATCAAAACAGGCACGGTGTGCAAGGTACCTGGCAAGTACATGAAAAATCCTAATGAATACATTTTTGTTGCCCCTAAATCAAACATGTCATTCCCTAAACAGGCTTGAATACTTTTTGCCATTACTTGCTTAAAGAAAGGAATATCTGTTGGTAATGAACTATATTATCACTTCACTAACATGAATAATTTATGCAAACATAAGCATACATGTTGCTTGAAAAGTAGCCTATTTGTTGATACTAAAAAGTTGCTTCATTCAAGTGTAATGGGAATCTGCCAACTAAATGTATATCAATAAGTTCTACTAAAAGTTTCAAAAAATTGATAATGAATTTGCAATTTCTGAATAATCTACACCTTCATGTATACAATTTGATATATTAAATTCATTCTTGACCAATTAACGGAATGCTTGTACTTTTTATTTGTTTCAAGAAACACATGAAAATATCACAGGCACATATGACCCCCCCAAAAATAAAAAAAATGTTGGGTTCATATAAGGCCTATCTATACACATCACACACATGAAGTGCTACACCAGAAATCACCAAGAGGAATCAAACACTTCAAAACATAAACATGTCTGTTTGATACCAGCTTGGAGCAAATATGAAATTTACACCCCAAAATAAAATAAATTAATAAATAGAAGTTTCTTTGATATATGTAAATACCCTTTACTGTATTCTTAGGCACACAAATGATTTATATACTATGCATTGAATCATCCTGGATTTGAATTGAAAATAGATCTACAAAGCCATTACCAGGTTGTCCTCATTAGAGTACCAGTAAGGAGACTGGCAATTTCTTTATAACATTAACTGTGGCATCTACTGGAATGAACCCAGAAAACTGACTTTCAAGTGGACGGAATGCTTTACAAAGAGAATACAATAATGTAATTTAGGTTAATATATTTATAGCTATATTGAATAGATAATTATGTAGTGCTCGCAAAGAGAAATAATAATAATAGGCTAATCTTATGTTTATAGATTCCTAGATAATCTAAAGAACTTATCTCAAAATTGTGTCTTGTCATTTTTAGCATTCATATCATAATTGCATCTACTTTTATAAGAACAGTTATTAGCATGAAAGCGAGACAATACATCATTGTTTCAGGAAATACTCCAATACACCTTTACAATTACAAAATTTGATGATATCACATTTTTTCAACCGTTATACTAAAATTGCTAGTTTGAGCCTTAACTATATTTCAACTACCATTTTCTAATAATCTATTTTGCTTGCGTCCACATGCGTTTACGGTAGATTGTCAATGCACAAATACAATGTAATAATTACTGATTACAAGAGTATCACTACTGTTCATGTTTAACATATTTTTTTAGCCCTAAATGTACAGACAGTACTGAAATCAAAATGTACTCTCATTTGGCATGAGTTGAGAAAATATCAGAAAACTTATTTCAATACTTCTGTAGGAACACACTGATGTACCTACATGTACCTAAAATAACAAACATTTAAAGGTAAAGACCAGTATTGGAAACGCCCCAATTTCAAAAAATGAAATTGAAGCTCTCATTACCAATCATGTGAAAGAATATGTTTTGACTAATAAATGATGATAAAAAAATTTGCCGGGAAACCGCCTACTAATTCATATATTTGGTAAATTTGTTTCTCTCATGGACTGTGAGAGATATAGGGTAGTCCCATATACATATTTCTGTGTATAGTGCTTGTAACTTTGCGAAGAATGGGCCAAATTTCTTATCATTTTGATGATTCCAGAACCTTGCAGATGCTAGATGCTAGATGATCAACCTTTTCTGATCGATTCCACAACGTTTCTTTCACAATGCAATCGCATGACCATAACTGGTCTTTACCTTTAAATTAGCCTAATAATTTGTAGTATGAACATTTTAATTTCTCAGTTTATAAAAAATCTAAACCTCACTTTTACATCTGCTGCTTTGACCCTTGAAAACAATGGAATCAGTGGAAAGGTATTGCTCGGCCTGGTTTAAATGAGTATGAAGAGTAGAGATTTACATGCAACTGCTTCTCAAGCATTTGTTTTATGCTTTCAGTTAGAACACAAATTATCCTGTGCCAACTTAAATAAATTGAACATTCATCCTCCATTAGAAAATCATATAACATATAAGAGGCATAGGCAAATCTCTTTCTCCACACACACTACAAGAAAGACCCCTTGTACACAATGGCTCAGTGGTCAGAGCAATGAGCTTAGAATCAGAGATAGTAGGTTCTAAACCAAGTCAGTGTGCTACTGCAGTTGGGTGATACTTTAATCCTCAATCCTCCACAACTCGTGTAGGACTTCAAATTGTACTCTTCTTTGCTTAGCATCTCAGAAAACACCACATACCGTAAAGCCAAAGATTTCTACACATTTTGGGTGTGGTTCAGATTCACAACAGTCTTATAGCAAAATAACTAAACCACAATATGAGGTTTTTGTAGAGTAAATTGCTAAATAAAGACTATCATTAAAAAATTCACAATATTTCATGTCACAAAAGATTCTGGTTTCAAGGTGGCAAAAGGCAGACAGATTACAAGGTCTTAACTCACTGCATTAGAAAGGCACAGGGTTTTGATAACTGAATGCCTTTGTACAGTTATGGTTAAGTATATATGTAATTTAAGTAGCAAAAAGTGTACCATAACAATGGCATGACCAGTACAACTGGCACACACTGTAATGGGCACAACCATAGTTAATATACAAATAATACACAGCAGTGAGGGCATTAGTAAGAATTACCCACACAAGGTACCTTTGGAACAGTCTAACACGCCCAAGGCAATAGCCAAGGTCGTTTGGACTGTTTTGAAGGTACCAAGTGTGGGTAACTTTACTAATGCCCGAACCAAATGATGTGTATTATTTGTTTTATAAGATTATGTTTTATTTGTTTTGTAAAATGATGTTTTATAACATGATCTTGATAATGACCGGTCATTACCATTGGATAATGACCAGTCATTATCCAAATTACGTGTTAGGCAAAAAAATGCATGGTCACATGTACGCTTTCAACCAATCATTTGATTAGGATCCACGTCATCATCTTATAAATACTAATATTTCAAACTTAAGTATTGAATTGAAAACCGGCCCGGGCCCCGAATACTCTACCTTCTCTCATCTTAGAAATGGAGATGAAGAAGATGAAGTACACTGGAGCTATACTGACATTCATGTGTAGAACCTTACACATTATATCATCAGCTTTTGAAGAGAGCTAAAAGGGGAGGGGTGGAGGGAGTCGCCGACCATGTAAGCCTTATGTAGGTGTATATGGAGCTTGGACAGCCAAAGGGATTCAATGTAATGGATGGGAGCCTGGCTCAGCAAGATGGAATTTGTGAGCGAAGCAACATTGTCACAGACTCTGATGACCCTTTCTGGTCTACACTACCGATAGAGACTTGGTAGAGTCAGAGCTTCCCATAGGTGACTCTGAATGGGTAGCTAACCATTAATGGGAAGGTAGCAAGCACGATCAAGGCCCTGTAAATCAGCACCAGCTAGGATACCACTAGAAACTAGAAGAGCTAGATGATCCATCCGACCTCCATCACTGGTAGAGCTTTTGAGTTTACATTCCTCTAGGTAGGTAAGTCTGCTCATCTGTGATGCCCCATCCTCACACTACTCCTGTCAGCAGACTGGGCCCTCGATCTGTGACTTGCTGGTCTCGTGACCCCATTTGCACCGGGTCGTGAACTCACAGGACGGTGACCTCTGAACCCTGGAGTCTGGAGAAATAAAAAGAAGTTATAGAAGATACAAAAAAGACTTAAGTTTTAAAAGATTGCTATCGAGACGCTATGATTATGAAGGCAATCAAATACTCTGACAACTATTGAACAATGTATAATTACAAATAATTATAAGGTTTGGAAATGAATGTAAGAAACAAAAGAGGAAACTGTCTTCAGAGTAAGACTATGATATCCGGAGTAGTCTCATGGTTCCATATACATGTACTTAATCAGTTGTAATAATATACCGTTATTTCATTTATTTCATTATTATCCAATCTTTTTTACCCATCGGCTAAGGGAACTGGGTCATTCCTGTACATAGCCTATGGGAATAGGAGAATTCAATACAGTCAAACCTGCTTTAGTGACCACCTGTCTACAACAAGGACATTTTTGTTTCCCTTGAAAATGGTTTCTCATTGAAACATGTCAGTACTAAAGCAACCTGTCCACAAAGACCACTTTTTTGTGTTTACCTTGGGTGGTCGCTATAGACAGGCTTGACTGTAGTTGATGAGTTAATAACATATAATGAACATACAGAATGGATTGTTTTAAAAATGAGCAACATACTCGATACAACCAGCACACTCTATGGCATAGTAGTAATAAACTTGATACCTACATGTACATGTACTTTGGCATTCTAACATGCTACTAAACATACTATTTGCACTCAAAAGTGTAATGACACAAAACAGACTAGCAGAATATACACATCACAGAGATAAAATTATCATCTATACATGCAACATAATGGTGAAATGAAATCTATAGAATTAAATATTTATGATGTCTCTAATTACATATTAAACATGATGACCTCTGTGATATCACTAACTTTCTATATTTATGACATTTTTACGGGTGTATGCAACCTAAGTATGGGTCTCTACTGCATCGGATTGAAGAGCAGTTATATTCTAGTTTATTCAAGTTTATTTTTCCACATCTCATTAAAAAAAACAGCAAGTACCTAATACTACATTGAAAATTACACAATAAAGAAAAAATACATTTAGTAAGTGTTCTGAATAAAACATTCACAATCACACAAAGCATAAATGTACCGTTAAACAGGCACTGTTTAGAAGAAAGAGAGAGATTGAGAGTGGATTAGGCACTTATGGGATTCTGACTCTGTTGAAACATTTCACATGCAACTACAAGAAAATTATCACAAACAAAAATAAAAAAATAGGCAAGGTTTGTTTTCTCATAATCTTGAAAAAAAAGGAAAAGAAACTACTTGTACTATGGCTAAAAGTGATGGATCACAAAACTTGCTCTACTTGAACGTTTTTATCACAAAAACTACCGTACTACTCAATGAATAAAGAGCTTACATTTACATCATCTAAGTCTTCTTTGAGGGTTGTCTAATGAGGGTAACAATGAAAGCAAAAATGATGTAAGGATGAAAACATACAATGCCATGAATCACTAATGATTATGCAAAGCTTTCCTGATGTAAAGTACATACATTTGATGGATAAGTGTTTTAAGTGATAATAAAAAGGATGAAATAGTGAATCAACTGCAATTCAAGGACTACATGCATACTTTCGATATAGACATCGTATTCCAACTGTGCCATGTAAAATACATACAGAACTTTTTCAATCACTTGGTGGTTAATAAATATAGACTAGATATATTCTAAACTATATAATTACATTATTAGGTTTCATGCTTCATTAATGTTATGATGTAACGAAAATAATGTTGAAACAGATATTTATGTAACTTGAAGGTCAATCCTCTTCACAAAGAGAGAAATTCATATAAATTCTTACTTTCTATCTCATGAGCCATATCATTCTGGTAAAATTAACACAGGAACATACTATTGTGCAAACAATTTATCCTTTTACATGAAAGAGCATAGCAATCAGTATTTAAGACTGTGGTCCTTAAATAACCTCATTTTCTTTTTCTTACAAAGTCAGTGCAATAATAGCCTTCTATTGAAGTTATCCTTCCTCAATCACCTAGGAATCTAACCCATAAGTTTACATGCAGTTCAATAACAAGCTTATAACATTTTCTTAACACTTGGGTAATATAAATGTATCAGTCTACTCTCAACTGATAAAAGACTTAACAAGCATCCATACTTACATGTTGTGGCGGTCTGGGTGGCATTACAGGGTAGATGGGATTGAAGGATCCATTCATGTCAGCAGTGACAGCTAGAAAAACAACAATTAAACAAAATATTGAAATATATCGCACTTGTTAAAATGATTGATATAAGCAGCTTGGACATGGAGAATTACATTTTTTGTATTTGTAGGATCTTTGGTGAACTGGTTCTAGCCCTAATGTAAGGTTATGCTCGTCTAATAGAACTGAACAATATCATGACATGAATGCTACATCAATGAAACATCTCCTACATAGATGTTCCTTATAAGCATCGGTTTGCATGGTGATGTAGATATACAGTAGGCTTATGCACTTGTCATTTGTAAGACGCACCTATTGACCCCCGGGAATGGTGCGTCATTGTACCGATGTGAGTCGTACATTTTGATACCATGACGCACCTTCCGTCACAGAAAGTGACACACCATTACATTCCATCGACGCACATTTGAGTCAAACATATGACACACCATTTCATGAAAATGACTAGCCAATGACGCACATTTGAGAAACACTTCTGCTTGGAGAAAGTGACAGTCCCATTGACACACCAAATGACGCAACATGGTAAAGTGACTTACTATGACGCACATATGGGTCAGTATTGTGACGGACATTTTGCGGCCATGACGGTACTGTGCGTCACGATTTTGGGGAACATGACGCAACCATGACGCACCATCCCCGGGGGTCAAAAGGTGAGTCTTACAAATGACACCTGCATTACGGTTGCACCATGTGAGAGGGGGAGGACTGGCGAGTCCTAAAAAGGATTGTTGGTAATCATCTTATGTGTGTGTGTGTAGTTCTGAAAGGGTCCTTTCTCAGGACTCCCCAGTCCTCCCCTCTCTTACATGGTGTAACTGTAAGCCTACTGTATATTTCCTACATATGCATAATCCTTTGTAGAGTGAATGAAAAGAAAAGATGAATATAGGTTATCCATGCAATTTGTCTTTCTCCAAGGATGGGTTGCTTGAATATTATCTGTGGCTAGCTGCAATCTATTTAAGTTAATTGTGAAGTTATCACCTTTCTGGTACTATGCAGGCACTAATGTACATGCGTGTCATAGTTTATACCCTTTGGCCCGAATTCACAAAGGAGGTTTGTAGACAAATCTAGGTTTACGTGCGTCATATGACGCGTTTTGATGCGTTTCAGACCAAGGTTTAGAAACGCTTCATATGACTCACATAAACCTAGGTTTGTCTATAAACCTCCTTTGTGGCCCTAGAGTTTAAAATAACAGAATGATTAGATTTAAATCCCATTATTCAAATACTTACTCTTAAGTCTTGCATTCAGCCGATCTAAGGACTCCAATACCTTGGCCTCCTCCATGGAAAGTGCACTCGGATGTACTGAAATTATAAATATAGATACATGTATGTAACTTTAATGGCCAGTAATAATGAAAGGATACTCCATAAGAAAAAAGTTTCTACATTTGTGTTACTCTGCAGGATAAGCCTCTGCCCCCATCTGGTGAGAACGACAAGCTCATCTTGCCTTATAAGGGTACTAATTGAAGCGATACAGAAATTAGGTGTTAAATCAGTCTGTATACCGTATACCAGTGGTGTATGCAGGATTTTTCCAAGGGGGGTTTTAAAATCGGACCCAAAATTTTGCAACGACTCAGCCAGCCGCTGAATAAGTGGGGGGGGGGGGGACACTTTTTTTTTTGGGGGGGGGGTCTTGAAATTTGAAAATTTGACATTTTGTTCCGTTGGAATCAAATCAAATCAAAACATACACATAAAAAACTGAAGGGTTTATTTTTTTTTACCCTAAACCCCCCCCCCCCCCCCCCCCCCCCCCCCCGCGTACGCCCCTGCCGTATTCTATTACTCAAATCAGCCAGTTTACAGATACAATCTGCGCATGGGTAGATAAAGGCCATTTATACAAAAATGGTAAAACCCACAGAGATGAGTACTGGATATGCGCTCATGAAAGTTATGTAACATTATTCATTTATGCACCAACGGTACATTTTATGATATGCAGGTGGAAGTATTCTTTTCAGGAGGTCAAACAAAAGGTATTCATGAAGCACAACTAGGACTTTGGCAGTTATTATTCCAAGATTCTCAAAGTGGAACTTCTCCATGTGTAAAAGATCTGTGGATATTTGGGGTCATTTGTACCTTGTGCTTATCGTAAACTCCCTTATTACGAACTTTCAATTCATGTGAGACATCACCAAAGGCAATTGAGAGAACTTTGTGAAGTCTTTGTTCTTACTTTTCTGCTCATGATGAGCCTGATGATGGGGTCTCTGCTGATCCAACATGGCTACGATATCTGAATCGTCTGCATTCTGCTGTACCATCTGCTCTGCCTGCTGGAAGGTCATCAAACTTTCTGTGACTGTAAGAGAGTGCAAACAAATACATAGTCAGACAAGGGGGAAAAATCCATCAGTTTCTTTGATAGAAATAAATTGTCCTCACGTCAAGTTGTTTATGTACATTGGTTCAACACAAACAACAATAGTGGCCCGAATGCACAAAGGAGGTTTGTCGACAAACCAAGGTTTATGTGCGTCATACGACGCGTTTCAACGCGTTTTTACAAACCTTGTAAAAAACAAAAGGAGGTTTGTCGAAACAAAAGGAGGTTTGTGAATTCGGGCCAATGTGTTTACTACAGGTATGTGAGTTGACCTTAACAAAGTGAAGGAAAATTGTTTAAAGAGAAGGTTGAGTTCTGGGAAGAGGTGAAAAATAATTTGTGAATATTACTCATTCTTATTATGCAAGTATGGAAGAACATCAGTTAAGACATGTTCCCTGAAAAGCATGGCTCTTCAAATGCCTTCATATTCTAAATATGCATGTAACATCGTAAAAATCGGGGGGCCGGCTTTTTATGCCACGTGTTCGTATAGTCCCATATGTGTATTTTTATGATACTGGAGAGATTTCACCATGGATATTTCAGATCCAAGTATAAAAATAAAAGAGTATTCTATGGTGATAATTTTGTCCATGTCTTAATGCAGATATGTAGTGGAGATAACTTAAATAACGTTGTGTTTCAAAACCCCTGGTTTAAATTTTTATGTAAGGTGAAACCCATTTTGTTGCCCTATTTAGGACACCAAAACGTGACATGAAAAAACCTAGTTCCTGGTAATGGGTATTCTCTAAATTTGTATGACTATCTGATGTTCAATTATTGTCTGGTAGTAAGTGCTGAATCTATTTATGCTCATGTCATTAAAAATCTTAGGTTGCGTGGCAAAGTTTTTTCATAATCACAATATTTCACATCTTGTAACAGTTGTTATGCATGGTGTCCACCATGTACACGCATTTCATTTGGTGCTTCTGCATGATGAATGCACATTATATGAACAACTTTGACAATTCCCAGTTTATTTCTTGGAAGAACTCCATGGATCAAATCAATTAAAAAAAGATGAAGCTTGAAATGTAATAGTTAAAAAAACAGCACATGTTTGAAATTCTAAAAATTCTTTGGTGTCCACCCATAACACGCGTTATATGAAAAATACAAAATACAATTTTGTTTAGAAAACTTCATTTATAATCTTTCTAATCTTTCACAAGAAAGGCTTTCCACATTGTGTATATAAAATTCATTGAATTGTTCAATTTTGATTCAAATAGATATTTTTAAAAAAATGATGAACCTTTGGTGTCCACCCTAGAGGACTGGGTGATGAATGTTATATGGCATTGTGCATTCTCATGAAAAATGAAAACAATTAAAAGTTAATTGTTCTAAAGTTATTTTCTTCTTCAAGGAGAACATACAGTATCACTATCAATCAATAATAATAATTATGTAAGTAAGTAAGAATATTTATTCTTAAAGTTTGTGTAACGGTTGTTATGGTGGACACCAAGGTTTTTGATTAAACTGACCATGGAAGTGCATGTGTCATTCATATTTTTATAACAGAGTTAGCAACTATTCAAGTTGGTAATTATGTCTCACTTCACAGCAAATACACAATTAATAACATTCTCTAAAAATGAACCATATTTAGGCAGATTTTAGAGGGTTTCATTTTTAAGCATTCATGTCACACTTTCATTACCCAGTATTGTAAAAGTACACATATACATCTTTCTGTGCAAGTGTTTGTAATTTTACCAAGACTTGGCCAAATTTCTTATCATTTTGATGATTCCAGAACCTTGCAATACACTTTTATACACACAAATTCCTATATGCTAGATGATCAACCTTTTCTGGTCGGTTCCACAACGTTTCTTTCACAATGCAATCGCATGACCAGAACTCAACTTCATCTTTAAGCAATAAACAAGTTTATGTATTGCGTGCCAAATCAGAACGTTAAGTGTATAATATTTTAAATTAAGAAGAAGTATATTTGTAGATTAATGGTATGAGATTATTTAGTTATCTTTCAAAAGGCTCTAAACACTGATGGAGTCTCCATATCATAACAAATATAAGGCGAGGCTAAACCATGCAGATTCAACCTTCACCACTAGCTAATGTACATTTGTGTTTTAATTTTCATTTCAAGGTAAAGAAAAAATGAGGTTAGTGATCTCTGCATGAACTTACTGTCTGCATTATTATATTGCTGGGCTACAGTAGCAGATCTTCCTGGTCCCTGTTGGCTTAGCTCTGGTCCTCGCTGTCCATTAGCCCTTGATGCGCTGGAGCTCCTCACATGAGGGCGACGTTGCTGAGATACAGGCGTCTGCTGGACATGGGTTCCAGAATCACTGTTAGTCCTGTAACGAGGGACAATGACTTGCCTTCTGAGAGTATCATTATACTGGCTGAAGCGCGGCTTGTTAGATGGTGGAGCCACTCGTAGGTTGGCCGTTATTCTCTGTTCCTGGGGTTGGTTTGCACTAGATGACTGCCTTGTGTTGGGTGTCTGTGTCACAGGGCCATTCTTCAGATCTGCTCCTTCTTCCCGCGTATGCAAGCAAGTTCTAACCTTATCCCACAACCAGTTGATTTCATCGTCTGTGGGTGTCTTGTCTAATCGTATTCCATTCTGAATGACAGGTGCCTTGTTAGCAACCACTTTGTCTTTATCGCTTACGACCTGTTTGCTATTTTGGCTATTCGGAAAGCGATTATTCTTTACCTGCATGCTACTTTTACCTTTTGCACTATTTGCATTTCCAGACTTTGGCCTAGGTGGAATGGCAGTAACAACATTCTCTGTCTTACCACCTAACCTTTCATGTACAGTCCTTGCATCAACACTTGATATCATCCTTGGCTTGCGAGCAGGTGCCATGTTTTCCGTTGTCGCTTGCATCTCTACACTCTCATCATCACTGTAGGTCAAGTCTGTCCAGCGGACGCCTTTCTTAGGTGACTTGATTCCGCTCAGTTTGCCAATGTCCAGACTATCCTTCATGATTGCAGCTGCCAGTCCTTTTGCTTTACGGTCCTTGGTAGGGGTCTCACTCTTGTGCCATTTTAAGATACTCTTCGGTGGTGACACAGCTTCAGGTTCTTCCTCTTCTTCTGCTCTATAGTCCTCTGGTGCCATCATTTGTTGAGGAGTTTCCTCAAACCTTCTATCCTGAGGAGGATATGGCATCCCAGGACCGACTCCTCTGTAACCATCATTCGCTCTTATTGCAGTAACCGCTGAAGCATTTGAATGCTGCGGTTCAGCTCCTTGAGTTCTTGTTGCATATGATACTGCTGGTGCAACAGTAACTGCAGTAGCAGTTGTCCTTGCTGAATATGGCCTAGACCTTTGACTTGTGCTAGCTGTTGGGGCACTAACATGTTGATGAATAGGAGGTTTACTGGCATTCGAGGTTGACCAAGCCTGAGCTGTATCACTCTTCTTTTGATTGTTTTCATTACTTACAGTTTTCTTTTCAGTTGCACCATTCTGGGAACTAATTGCTGTACCATTCTTTTTACCACTGGTGACACTATGAGAAGAAACACTGGCAGTAGACACAATCCCATTAAAGGCAACCCCATTAAATTGCATGCCATCATAAGCTGAGTTATTCCTAGGATTTGAAGTAGTCCTGGTTACCTGCTTTGTGTCCTGTTCCTCTTGAGTCTTTTTGTCATCACTGCCTCTCATCAAAACATTATTATGATACAGACTGAAGTTACTGGGATCTTTCTTAATCTCTGAATGCCGTGTGACACTGTGACTATTGGAAATCTGTGTGCCATTGGCAACTCCATAACTTGGAGCTGCAGTTCCACAACTTGAAGTGTCATACGCCCCATGCTGTTTGGTCCCATAGTTCTGCGTCAAATCTTCCCTTTCCCTTCTGTGTTCCTCCAAACTATCAACACTTGACAGGCTCTCGCTCCGTTGAAGGCCACTTCCACTACCTCCTTTACTAGCCTCATTCTGAATAGCTTGACTGAATTCTTGCAAAGTCCTCTGTTGTTGCTGAATGAGCTTCTGTTGCTGTTCTGCTATTTCTTGCTCAATCAGACTGGTTCTTGAGTCTGTTCTTCCCTGCTTTGCAACCGACTGCAGGGCAGAGTGTGTTGGTTTTGTATACCCTCTAGACTCACTGCCAGCAGCGATGTTCGCATTATTGTCTACATAAGCTCCACTGTAATTTGATGTCGTGGGGTATGTGGATACTGGGACTGTTCCATTGTGTTGGTAGGTTGAATAGCCTTGTCCATACTTGAGGGACAGAGAAGAAGGAACACCAACCATCTGAAGGACATCATCTAGTGAAGGCGTTCCACTTCCATGGCCTTAAAAAAAAGAAGAAAAAAGAAGATAATTATAAAAAAAAAAAAAATCAAATTGCTATTAGCCCATAGCACACACAATCTCTCTTAAATTAGATTATTGAAATTAGTATAGGTAATAATGGGAAACATATTCTCATGAAATCCATTCCAATCCAATCATATTTTTCAAGAAGAAAAATAAATTATACTGCCATACGATTTATGTAGAAAGTTTATTATAGCTTACATCTCTGATATTACTTAGTTTAGATCAAAATTAAAAACCTACCTAATGGAAAATGCATATTCAACCTAGTTCTTAAATTGTTACCTAGTTCTTAAATTGTTACCTAGTTCTTAAATTGTTACCTAGTTCTTATATTGTTACCTTACCTTGTTATCTTATGTTTCATAATTTCACTTCATATTTGTTTTCTTGTCATTACTCTGTTTAGTTTTAATTGTATTAATATTGTAAAGCGCTTTGATATAAATGTCTTACGAAAAGCGCTATATAAGTAAAAGTTATTATTATTATTATTATTACAGATACCATGTATTATATATTTAGCAATAAGCAAACAAACGGGTTAGGAGCTGGTCATCACAATACATGCATTTAACATATGGCAACATATATGTGCAAATGAGAAATGATATTTAAGGGATAATAAGATTATAAACATTTTACCAGTTCAAACAACATGCTTGAATCTACTGCCCTTAAAAAAATATAAGTCTATCACCAGTTCCCAAGATAAGTTTAGCAAAGTAACTTATTCTAACACAGGGGACTATATTTACATGATTTTCCAAAACTTCTAGTCAATATGGAGAGAGAGAGATAGCGACATACTTTGAGGCGATTCCATGTGATAACCTCTGGCAATGTGGACACCATCATGCAGGGGGGCACCAGGATAAGCTGGAGCTGAATGAGATGAATCAAAGCAATATTGTATGTAGGCTATTAGCTAGGAGGGCATTTGCCATCTGCATATATTAAAAAAATGCCAAATTCCTTTTGGAAGACACCCTATATGTATATTTATAATTCACATTATTTTAAATTTAAACCCTCTCCCTCTTTTAACATCCTTTACTCATTGGGGGAAGAAAAAAAAAGATTAAACACCAAGTTCCGAAATCCTGACTATAGGCGCGATTGAAGATGAGCTGAGCATATGATAGATGCAAATGTCAAAGGGGTGATTGGAGTTAACCTCATTCCCTTTTATATTCAATAATTAGAAATTAATGTTTGATAGGTAAAGTCTTTCAAGGCTGGTATTTTTTTGTGGCAGCATGGAGGCACTGTAAAAACTTTGAGGCATGGTCAGGAGGCAAGCCTGGAGATTTTGGCCGTGTGAGTGAATGTACCTGTATGATAAAAGTCATGATGCCTGCGAGCAGAGCCTTTGTTCTGCCTCTGAAATCGATTGGTAGCTTCTCTCTGCTTCTGACGTCTCTCATCAAGCACTTCTTGTCTTCTCTTGGCCTCTCTTTGTGCCTCTAGCTTCTTCTTGGTTTCAAGAGCTCTGGAGAGACACAACATATAATATATTTTACTATTTAAATACCTGGGCCGGTATTCAATTTGATACTTACAATAAGAAAGAAATTTACTAAGTAAATTGCTAAGCTATTAAGAACTTTACTTATCTCGTATTCAAATCACATTTTAGACTTTTACATACGTAAGACAAAATCTAAGTAAAATACTTACATGTACTGATAAGTATTGTGACATCACATGGTCAATCAAATGCAATTAACGCGTCGCAATAAATGCGTGCGAATATAATTGTGCGCAGGTTATGATACTGCGTTAGAAACCCACATGACTGCCAATCAAGGCCTCCAAATAATTGGATTAAGACTGGTAGGGAGCTGTCTTAACTAGGGTAAAATACTTGGCCAGAAGTTTTAATTGAATACCCAAATTAGCTGAGTATTTTATCTAAGCCGAAGACTAAGTAAAATACTCATATTTATAAATTAAGTTTGGAATTGAAAACGGGCCCTGAACTTTCTCCATTATGCTAACTATTAGCGCCAGCAGTAACATATATATATATTAATGCGAGAGGAGAAATATATAATGTGTAAAGTATATTTGTTTAAAATATGAAAACATTGCTTTGAAAATAAAGTACCATGAATAAAATGTTGCCATAAAGACATCACTCAAAACAAGACAGAAAAATGTTTCTAATTATGACTGTTCATACTTGTACAGTAGTCCAGAGATGACATGAAAATTGAAGAGAAAAGATAAAGAAAAGATAAAAGGATGGTAAGGGAGAAAAGGCAAAAGGATGGTAAGGGGGGAAAAGGTATATCTGAGAAAGATACAAGTACGTATGTAAATATAGAGAGAGGGGGGAGAGAGAGAGAGAGGGGGGGGGGGGGGGGGAGGTACATGAAATATTGCTTTTGAACGACAGCCTTCCAATCATGCCACTTACTTGCGTCTCCTATTGGTTTCCACGGAGAGCTTCTTGGCCCGGTCCCTGGCAGCAACCTGCTTTGCATGCTCTGATCCTACATCTTTCATACGAGTCAAGTGCTCTTGTTCCAAGATGTTATATTTATTATTACTGGTGATAGCAACCCAGTCAAGGAAAAACAATTGGCACATACACAAACAGGGTCTATTAAAAATTGAATTGTTCTATTTACAAGGCACTGACAAAGTTCATCAATAATATGATTATCAGTACAGTATTTCTCCCTATCTTTCTCTTTACAATCTATGCTCTACATGACTACATGCAATTTGAAATTATCAGTATTGGATGAAAATTTCAACTATAAGATAATCCAGCTATAACTTTGCATACATCTAGTTCTCACAAAGAAGACATACTGCGCTGACTGTGCATCCATACTTTCTCTTTGCCATTTTGAATTGACGATATACAACATTGGATGAATAGGACGAGGAATCACCCTTTTACCCATCAAAGAATTTTTCTAATTATCATTTCAAGTGGTTGACCGGATGCCCAGAGGAGTTGATAAACATTGCAATTCAAAATTGTAATTACTACTTCTGTACATTTAAAAAAATGTGCCCCAACCCACTGTTTGAAGCGTTTTCCTAAGGCGGCGGAGCTCCCTGGAGTTACCTACAGTATCCTAACACTCACTACACCTGGGGCCCGTTCCTAGAAACCGTCATAAGTCTAACTTCTTGACTATCCCATTGAAACATGTGCTAATTCTATAACACACGTTTCAATGGGATAGAGTTAGACATTATGACGGTTTCTAGGAATGGGGCCCAAAGTTGTAACTTCTACTAGAATCTTCAACAAGATTGAAGGAAACAGACTGCACCAAAGTAAGAAGCAAAAGAAGAAGATATTTTAGAATAGGTCTAGAAGTCTAGATCTAGATTGATCGGGAAGTATCCAATCAATCTAGGCCTATTCTAAAATATCTTCTTCTTTTGGGTATCCGGGATACCCAGAGGAGTTGAATTGCTAGATCTAGATCTAGAAAGTATCATTTATTCATTGATTGTTATCAAAAGTTTGACTCAGATAATCAGATTACAATGAAATATTAAATGTAGAATTAGACTCTAGCTTTAAGCAATAATACAAAATAGAAATAGTCAGATGGCTAATCATCGTCTAAATAGTCTGCAATCGCAATCGTTCTCGATCTCTTTTCACACAAAGTCAAACCCACACTTGTCTTGACTCAGCTCAAGTCAAGTGACAGTCACAATCACACTCACAGAGTCACAGTGCAGCATGCAGTAGACACACATCTACGATCATCTTTACATCCCAACCCACATAGCGTTCCGTTGCGAATGAAAAGGATACGAGTAATATCCTCGAGCTGTATCTGTCAACATTGTGCATTCGTTAATTTGATGCTGTTTGACGATTCTTTTTTAACACACATATTGCACATTTCAATATCTTCAGGACCAGTGTACTCCAAACGCCAACAAATCGACATTTCACGAGATAATATCCAAAACAAGTCAGCTATCACTGTCCGAATGGGTACAATCGACGTCCATGTTGACTGTTTCCACAACTATGTTATGCAAATGAGATGACGTATATTTTTGTTCACACGCCATCTACGTTGAATTTTGGTATAGTATACACGTAGTGCAGTATGTTTTATAAGTTCACTAGTTCAAGTTTTAATTATCTTTCTTTCATAACACACATTACAAATATCACACGAGTATAACAATTTAGCAGAATATGGCGTTACAATAGAAAGATGAGGTGACCTTGGTTGAAAGCTAGGCTTGTGGAATTAAGGTCCCTCATGAGAAGCTTATGAGTTAAAGAGTACACATAGTGTAATGATGTCTGGCCCTGGGTTTTTAGAACACCTTTCCAACTTATAGTCTTGCATCTTAGGAAAGTAAATACTAGTTACTAGTATACTATTACTAGTACTACACAATCAACTCACAGTCGCACAACCTCCTCCCTCCACAAATAGCCGTAACCATGGAAGAATCCTGGATCGATGAACAGGCTTAGACCTACAACATCGTGTATTAATGTAAGTAAGTAAGTAAGTAAGTAAAGTAAAATGAACAAACTCGTCACATAAGAATAATGCATACATTTAAATGCTTACAAACTAAGCTAAAACAAAACGGAGAGAAAAGAAACATAAATAGGTGTGATAGAATCTACTGAATACTAAATAATGGTTATAAACACGAGCAGCAGGAAAATACTACGAGCAACAGGACTGGAACACAAACAAAGACTATAGTAGAAATTTGTTTTCACGTTGGTGTTCCATAATACAACACAAACATATACTTCACACCGAGAGCCATAAGAGCGTTAACCTAGCTATGTGAGAGTGTATAAGTAAACTCCAGAGAGAGAGAGAGAGAGGGAGGGAGAGAGAGAGAGAGAGAGATAGAAGGGGGGGGGGGTACAGAACAATGTAAATTCAATCCGCCTGAACAACAAACAATATACCTATACCCCTTCTGCCCATTTAAAAAACGTCTTGTCTAAACGCTGCTGGGTCAAAAATGTAAGATATTCATCTCATAATGGCTAGAGGTGGATTTACCTGATACAGCTGGCGCAGAATTATCAATTTCGAAGAGTGTCAGATGAAAATCCGTCTTATCTATCGGCACATTTGTTTCTTCAAAATTAAAGACAAAACGCTCACTTCTTACTTTAAATGAAAATATTTGGCCTGGATGCCCCTGACCCCCTCGACCACCCCCCCCCCCGCTAGCCAGGGTCCGGATACACCACTGAGCTTCAGTGAGTAACGAATGTGCCTATTATTTTCTTCTGTTCAAGTAACATTCATATTATCCAGCTTACATATATTGAGAAGGACCAAATACATAAATACACGTCGCCAATGATGAACCCGTCATTAATTCTCTAAAACTGAACGCATTCACTTCTTTAAAATCCATGTTTACAGTTTATCTTGACTTGAGAAACTAAACAAATTATTTTGAAGCAAAATCTCTAAACCACCTAAGAAGCCTTTTCATGTAACAATATAAGTGATGTATCAATCAACACGGATGAGTGAGGTCTAAATATTTTCTCCTATATAACCAGTAAACTTGCCGGGTCGAATTGCACTGTCTCAATACCTAGAACTGGATCGATAGTCATTTTCTTCAAAAGAAGTCAACAAAGGTTGGGCCTTGATTGGTTTCATTTCAAAGATACCTTAAACGTGACATGAATCTATATTTATTTTTCTTTGTTTCTTGTTTTTGTTTGTTTGTTTGACTATTATTTGTTTTCATTTTACACATTCTTTGATTTCCTCGAAATATCTGACACCAAGATGATGATCTGAATGATGATCTCATTTTAATTTTAATTTCAATTTATTCATGTTTTAAACAAAACCGTACAAATCAATTATAAGCATTTAAAACAAATAAAGAAATACATGTTGGAAACAGAGGGGTCCACTAAAAAGCAATGCTTGCACAAGTGTGAATACCTCAAATGATACTTAGGAATAATGAGTAATAATTTAACAAGTCCGTAGCTACAAAAGGAACTACAAAATAGGGGATAAAGTGGGATGCCAACAGAGACAAGAAAGGGACAAGACAATACTTTACACGACAAAGATAGAAGAACACGGTTATGATACAAAGAGTACACAATGCCAAAAAGAAGTGAGAGATCGGGGGTACAGAAAATAATACAAAATGATGAGCTGCATGTGGGGTTGAGAAGAAGATAAGGAAAGAGAAATGCGCATTAGAAAGGAGATAAGCATGATAAGGCACGATTATATCAAATTACATTTTGAGTCAGCGAGTGGAGAATGATCTTGTATTCAACAAAAACAACAACAACGCGTATACTTCAATGAGGTTTATTATGATTGTAATAAAAATAATTTCATTTTTTTCTTCTTAAAAGTATTAATCGATGGAGCATTTATTTTATTTCATTACTGAATCATTCAAGGACACTTTACAGGCCTTGGAGGCACCTTGGGCCTGGGACTGCGGTTTCGTGCAAAGTACCCCCCCCCCCCCTGGGAAAAAGAATTTCGATATTCTAGCAGAGATAGTGGTTCTGTATTTGCAATTTCTTATATGGTATTTAGATATGGGTCTTTTTAATAATAAATAGGCCTTTTTTTTCCTGTGTCTAATTTTTTGCTCCCTTACTTCGCTCGCTCGCAAATATAAAGACATGACAGACTGCACCCCTATTTTGCCAGCTTCTTATTCCCCACAACAATACCATTCACTGAGTGAGTTACACCAGATATTTAACCACAAATAATTTAGCCCCATGAAACTACCCCTAATATGCACCCCTTTTGTTATAAGAAGTACCCATTTCACCTCTGGTAATATGTGCCCAATTTACTTTGAGACGTGCCCCTTTTCCTTTAATTGTATTAAATGTTCTTTCCCCTAATACAGAAGCATATTTTTTACCTCTGATATTAAAATGCTCCTTTTGAATATGATAAGTTCCCCTTGTTACTTTTGATACATGACATATTCCTTTCTAACAATATGCCCCTAATCGAAAACGATTGATAGCATGTTCTCCCTCAAATTTCCCCTAAAAAGCAATGGGACCTCACAGATCTTAAAACCATCAGAGACCATCACACACACAGGAAAAGTATGGTGCTGAGGCAGTATAATGGACCACATGAAGAGAAGACCTTGATGATTATACCTGGTAGTGCACTGATTACAACGTAGGGGTACGAAACAATGTCTAATGTCTGAAAAATGAGGCTTTGAGTTTACTCTATGTAGATGCCCTTTTTCCAGAAAGTGCCCCTTTTTGTTGGTGCCTCCCACTTTGGAAGAAGCTTCGCCACCCCGGCGCCGCCCTTCTTTGTATAGTTGGTAAAGATGAAAATAGGAGTACGGGGATAGGAACTTTCCTAGCTGCCCATTTACTTTCTTTGGGATTTGGAATTCACCTGGGTTTTAGTCGGGGGGGGGGGGGGGGCTAAGCCTTCTGACTGCCTTAAAGATGAATTTGTAATGAGGCCAGAGTCTCTCCATACATGAATGCGGAATTACTTACGCGAAATCTACAAGTGACATCATCAAGTGTAGGTGTGTACACAGTATAATAAAACGAAAAACCAACCTAAGCTTGATGGCAAACTACTAGTATATATTAATACAGGAAAGCAGCAAAATCAGAGAAATAGACTGGTGAAAGTTTTAATGAAATCGGGAAAAGAATTATCTTTGAAAGTTGTAATCAGTATAGGTATGGGCTCTTCGATTTTGCTGAATCAGTAATGTATCTGTGATGTAGTGGCGGACAACCACTGCCATTTGTTCCAACACACAACATGACTAAAATGTCGAATTCTCAAAAACGTATGACTCACTAGGGTTTATCCTCTTTAGAGGACCTTTGATAATATGCATCCATGCTTTTTTTAAGGTAATGCTCCAAGGGAGAAGGCACTTAGCATAAAAATATAAATTAACGACATTTTTGTACATGACAAACGGGAGAGTTACCCGCGACTACGTCACAACCTAGTGACCAAACTGCCGATATGAGATTTGCATAGACTTAGTGATTTTAAATTTCAAATATTCATAACTTCCTTATTATTGGTCCGATTTATTTCAAACTTTCGCCATTCTTTGTATCTTATTTTGTTCTGCTTTCATACAAATGAACTTATTACAATGGTTTGATTGCCCTTTACAACTAGGCCTCTGCCTTATATGAAATTGTTTGTTTAACTTGGGAATTAAACCCACATCGGAAGCCCCATAGGTCTATGAAAGAAAGAGCCTTTATATCAAAGTTGTCACTGAGGCGTCATTTTGATTTATACCTTATTACTTTAATACGCCATTGTAGCCTACGTAGACGAGTAGTACTTAAGCCAGTAATTCAAAGCAATGTTTCCACTTATATTGTTTTCACATTTTGTACGATTTCACCCTTATGCTATTGTAGACAAGGCTTCATTTAGATTGCGTTATTACCTATGTAAAAAGATTGTGAACGTAATCATCCTATGCGCTAGTGATTAAACACTCTTCATTTTGCATTCACTATTTGTACGATATCACAATCATTGGCGGGTCAGAGGTAAGCCGCTGACACGGTCCTAAGTTACCCGAAATGACGCCTTAGTGTATGCAAAGGGCACAAAAGCCCGAATTCACAAAGGAGGTTTGTCGACAAACCTAGGTTTATGTGCGTCATAAATGACGCGTTTCGATGCGTTTAAGACCAAGGCTCAGACAAACCTTGGTGTGAACGCGTCAACACGCGTCATTATGACGCACTTCATGTTTTTAACTAATCTTGGAGCTGGACAGTATGCAATCAATTTCTAACGGTAGAGCCTACTTGATTTTTTTCTTCACCAATTCGTTAAATGAACTGATTGTTTCTGCCGATATCAAAACCACTTATAGAAAACGCTTAACATGCTTGAAAGTGGTCCATTCAGCATTGGTAGATAATACTCTCAGAACAGCTACTGCCCCCGCTACAGCCTACAGATCATCACTTTTCTAAATTGATTGCTGATGACAAAGGCCTATTCCATTACAATTAAAATACAAAC